AGCCGCCGCGACCTCCGCCTTGCTGTCCTCGTGGACGAGTTCTCCTCCACCGACGTCGATTCTCTCCTCCTCGACTCTCGCAGGTTCAACTCCGCGTTCAAATCTCCCCACCGTCGAGCTCACCCATGGTAAAGGAAACTCTTTTTTGCTAATCAGTACTTGAAGCACCCTATAGTTTCCCCTAATTTGCACTTGTGTACCCTCGCTTGCTTTTGTCCACACTTATGTACCCTAACGTTTCTAAAATTTGCACTTAATACCTTTGTGTTATGCTGAGGTGAGAATTTTCTCCAGAGTTTTTCCATGTGACAGTCACAAGCTAATTTTTTTGCACAAGCTAATTTTTAAAAGTTTTTAGTCCTGTTAAATACACCATAATTATATTTTAAAATATAAATTGGGCATGTTTAAGATAGAATTATGGTATATTTAACTGTAAATTCAACAAAAATTAAGGGCTAAATTGTTCTAAAAATTATCTTATGAGTGTCAAATGAGAAATCTCGGAGAAAAAAGTTATCACATTTGCATAATAGAAGGTAGTAAAGTGCAACTTTTACAAACACCAATGCGGGTATATGAGTGCAAACTAGGGGAAGCTATAGGATATTTAAGTGCTAATTAGCCTTTTCCTTATAATATGAGGTGGGTTTGGTTTGTTAGGGTGTGGTTGCTGTGATGTGAGGGGGCCTTTTAGGGAGGCCCTGCATCGGATTGTTGATAGCAAGCATAATTTTGACTGCTTGCTTATTGAGGTATTTATTCTAATTTTTGTTTTCCTTTTGTTATTTCAATTTCATTTCTTTTCAAGGGTTTTCTTTTGTAGAATGACATCAGAGAGAAATTAACTTTAATACATTTAATTGATTGAAAATGCACATTTGATAGTTAACATGTACTTTTGTAATTTGGTAAGTTAGATAAACCTGGTTTTCTCGCATCATTTGTGGGTTCAGTTCCCATTAAATTGTCTAGAATTTGATTCAACTTGGATGGGTTAGCTTTTAGAAGTATTAGTTTAGCATTAAGAACCATTAAAGCTAAAGTTCTATAAATTCACATAAGTTCAAGACCAATTTTTCGCAGTATGTGAGTATCCATCTATCACTATATTATGTACTAAAACATACGTTCTTAAGAGATTCAGCAATTGACGTCTGAACTTCCATGTATAATTATTTATTGATTTTTCTACAACTTACTTTCGTCTTCTCCCTCCCTCTCATTCATTGCAAGGAACACCAAATTATTAGTTTTTAATTTTATTTTGATAATATTCTAAGTTCTATGATAACTTTTAGAGTGAAAGCAACGTACAACTACCAAAATCATAATATGGAATATGATTGTTATAACAATGTTGTAATACTCAAACCCATGCTTGAATAGGGACTAGTAAGAATCATTATGAAAATGACACAGCGCGGAAGTGATAACCTCGGAATCCACCAAGGGTGTTCTCTAAATCCACAAAGAACGATTTTCGAATCCACGAAGAACTTCGAATCCACGAAGAAAATATTGAAAAGAGAAATTTTATTGATGAAAAGTTATTTTCCTTTGGGGTTACATGACTTTTCTTAAATAAAAAAACAAATAAGACTCCTAGTAAGATTAGAATTATAAAAATATAAAGCATCAAATAAGACTCCTAGTAAGACTAGAATTACAAAAAAAAAAGTATCAAATTCTATCCTAAAAAGACTCCTTATAATAAAGGAAACAAATCATGAATCAAAATTGATTTTGTTTCCTAATCTAGTTTAACTCTAAAATTGAATTTATTTTCTAATCTATATTTCTTAATCTAAATAGGCTCCAACTCAGATTAAGCGTCCTACATCAGTCTCCCTTTGTTGAAAGAAGCTCGACCCCGAACTTATATTTGTTAGAATAGTAGCTTCATTGATAAATAATTTTCTTCTCTTGCAATGATCAGCATCCGCCTTGTATTTAGTATTGATTTTCTCTATTTGTTCTTTTACCTCCTCTGTTAGGACTTCTTTGGTATCAAACTTGTGTATGAATCTTTTTCATGACAAGTGTATGTAACTGACAGCATGTGGCTCTGTAGTTGACATGAAAAACTCCTCCAAATATTTTTCTTGTTGCTTCTCATATTCTAGTGTCGACGGTATCATTTCACCATTGTTAAAATTATTGATGATTATTGCTTTTAAAAAAATAATTTTCTTCCTCATACTTCATACACAATTCTTTTATCTCCTTTATCTCAAGCTCTCCACCAAGCAATGCACACATATCATCAATTGTCTCACTCTCTATTTATCTTTCTCCTCCATCGGGACAATATCAATGTGTAACATCACTCACAATATCATTAGAATATTCATCTTCATTAACATATCATCATCAACATCAGGAACTTCAGGATGAATCTTGATGGTGGCAAAATCTTCCTTTCCGGGGGTGAGCGTCTTGTTTTTTGCCACTAGAGACACCCGCCATTGCTTGTAGTTAGAAGGTAAGAAACGATCTCTCAATAATTTCTTCATCTTTACCCACGTTCGAATCAGATCCTTTCCTTGATAGTATCGATTTATCAGTACTTCATCCCACTATGCATATGTTTTTTCATTAAGCATGTAGACCACTAATTTAACTTTCTAATCTTCTGAGATTATATTATACTCAAAATACTTATCCACTTTGTCAATCCAATCAAGAAAATCATCAGCATGAAGCTTTTCATTGAAGGATGATATTTTTAATCCTCCAGCATCATAGTTCTCCTTTCTTCGGTAGCCACTATGATCATCCCTGTAGAATTTATCTTGTGGAGTCAGATCACGTCGTTGGCGACCATCAACGCGATTTTGAACTCTCACCGTGTTCAGACGCTCAACTGCTGTCGCAAGTCGCTCCATGACAGTCTGCATCTGATTAACATCGGTTTTTAGCACGTCGAACTCAGTTCGAGAAATAGGGGCTTCATCACCTGCCATCAGATCGGAGGAACAATGCTCTGATACCAATTGACACAGCGCGGAAGTGATAACCTCGGAATCCACCAAGGGTGTTCTTTGAATCCACAAAGAACGATCTTCGAATCCACGAAGAACTTCGAATACATGAAGAAAATATTGAAACAAGAAATTTTATTGATGAAAAGTTATTTTTCTTTGGGGTTACATGACTCTTTTTAAATAGAAAAACAAATAAGGCTCCTATTAAGACTAGAATTACAAAAATAGAAAGTATCAAATAAGACTCCTAATAAGACTAGAATTACAAAAAAAAGAAAGTGTCAAATTCTATCCTAAAAAAACTCCTTATAATAGAGGAAACAAATCATGAATCAAAATTGATTTTCAAATTCTATCCTAAAAAAACTCCTTATAATAGAGGAAACAAATCATGAATCAAAATTGATTTTGTTTCCTAATCTAATAAAAACTCCTTATAATAGAGGAAACAAATCATGAATCAAAATTGATTTTGTTTCCTAATCTAATTTGACTTTAAAATTGAATTTATTTCCTAATCTAAATAGACTCCAACTCAGATTAAGCGTCCTACATCAGAAAACCTTGTGTTAAAAAGGATAAAAGAAAATGAAGGCTAAAGTGCAGATCTTTTGTAATTTTCTTGAAATATCTTGCTTTGATGACCAAATTGTGACTAGAAGATAGAAGTTGTCTGAGCTTTTAAGAAGATTGCAAAGATTTATTTATTAGTCGAGAATACCGACAAAAAAGATAAATTTCTATGTCAGTAATAACTCCCACAAAAGGTTTTTAAATGGTGTCCTCCTTTATCTCTACCTGTCGAAGTATGGGCTTATCTAGCTCTCAATATGTTTGCAAACCTGGTGAAGAAATAGTTCTCCATGACTATAATTGCTTTTGAGGATACTTTGTGACTTTGTTATGTTCCTATTGTCGGACAATAACCTGGCGCCCTTTATTCTCGATTAAATAGATCAATTTACCTTGAAGTTCAAAAGTACAGGCATCGGTTCTGCTTCTCAGATTAAAATGGTTTCCTTATCCTTTTCTTACTTCTGATTCCAGACTCTGAGTGCTTTAAGATTCTTCACTTTATGTCTTATAGTAGTGCTGGCTGGTTGCTGTTGGACTAGGGTTACGCATGAACATTTGATATCATAACAGGTATTAACACGACAACTTAAGTAAACTTAATATTGAGAGGTCATGTGTCAACTTAATATATAAGCTAACATGTTACAAATTTGGCAACATTAATAGTGACGCTCATAGTCAACACTAAATTCCATGAAAGGCGCCTTCTCTTCATATAATCACATATTGCCCTTATATAACACATCATATGCGTGGTTAATATGCTTTTTGTGTTTGGCAGCTAATGAAGACATTGATACTACCCCCAGCTTACTATTTCAAGCTCAAGGCATGGACTCAGTGTCACGTTTATCAGTTTCATAATTGAGCTGAATAAAGATATTTCAGAAACAAATCATTTTATACCTTGATTCACTGACTTGATTTGAAGTTCAAGAAAAAGTAGGCATACTGGCTGGGGGTTCTGTGCACCTGCCTGGTTTTGTTAACATAGTTTTTAGCATACGGGAAATTTTCAATTTCTAATTTGCTACTTTGTTGAGCAAAATTTAATGAGATTCTATGCTCATTTTTCTTAGAAGATAAAGCAGTGAAGATTTGGTTGTTGAAATACTAGGTTCAAGTGAAAAAAAAACATCTTGAACTGTGGTGGAGTTGATATATTATGTGCATGCCATTTTTGTTTTGAAGTTTTGATGGGGAAAATTTTTATAGCTGTTAGAATTTGGTTGTTGAAATGAGTATGAAATTTTATTATGTGCATGTCTCTTTTTGGTGGTAACCTCACGATGGTGAGCACATCTAGTTTTTCTCATTGTGCACTTCTTCTATCCAAACTGGAGAAAATGAGAAGTGATATTTCCTATACTTAGTTTCCTTTTTTTAGTTGTGAAACAAACAATGGATGTGTGAGGAAATCTATTTCCAACCCTATTTTGTGATGAACCAAACAAACTTTAAGAAACCTTTAAAAACACATGAAAAGCAATATCGATGCTTGGAAATGAGTTTCCTATAATCAGGAAACCAACTAAACAGCCCCTAAGAGGAAAACAGGTTACTTTTTTCCTTTCAATTTGATGGTTGTTATGAAATGAATATCCAATACTCATACAGCAATATTATATCATTTTGATATTTGTCATAACACCTTGATTAACCCCTTCTCATAGCATTTTGCACATGATTTTGACCCTGAATTGATTCTCTAATTAATGCCTTGATTATTGTCATGCATGCATACCTTGTTCCAAAGTTGTGTATAAATAAAAATGCAATTGCACAACAAAACACATAAGAAAATAAGAGAAATTTTCTCTCTAATTTCATCTCTCAATTCTCCTCTCTCTTTATAGTAGTTTTATTTTTTCTTTTGATTATTTAAAAGCTAGCACGTTCTCAGCATGAATTTGTTCTTCAAGTTAGAAGTTCCTTATAATTTGGTTGAAAGTTTTCCCATGGGTAAGAAGTATATCAAGATTGATTTCTAATAGCTCTCATTTAATTTCCATTCTTTATTGCTATTTTGTTTATTACTTATAAAGATGGACTAATTTTATTATCTAACATGATTTCTATGTTTTTACTTATAATACTTGTCAATATGACAAATCTCATGATGTTTAAATTTATCACCCTTCATATTATGGGCAAGAATTGTTTATGAATATTTGATGGGTCTCGAAGACACCATTAACGAGGAAAATTAAGTAACAATGAGAAACTATGAATTACCTATTTTTAATATTTGATGTCTCGAAGACACAATCAAAGAAGAAAATCAAGCATCAATGGAAAACTAAGAATTACTTATCTTGGATATTTGATGAGTCCTGAAGACACCACCAACGAAGAAAATCAAGCATAAGGGGCCGTTTGGTTGGTTTCCTAAAAACTAGGAAAAAGAAATCGGTACAAGGAAACCAATAAAATAATATTTTTATCCATTTCCATTCCTAAAAGTCACCCACAACATCTAATAAAATAATATTTTTATCCTCCAGCTCATCTCATTTCATCTCATTTCTTACCTTTAAAAATAAACCAAATACAAGAAATGTGTCATATCATCCAACTCATCACATCTCATCTTATCTCATTTTTAAAAAGCACACACATCATCCAATAATATTGTGACAACTCATCTCATCTCATTAAATCTTCATTTCCATCCATTTCCTAAAAAAAAACAAGAAATTAATTTCCTTAAGAATGTGTCACATCATTCAATAATATACCTCCAACTCATCTTATCTCATCTATTTTCTTATTTTTAAAATGAACCAAACATAAACAACCTCAAAACATCATCCAATAATATACCTCCAATTCATTTCCTTATTTTTTTAACCAACCAAACAACCTCAAAACAAGTTTTTTTAAAAAATAACTCATATCATCCAATAATAAGGTGACAACTCATCTCATCTCATCTCCTATTCTATAGTTTTCTTCTTTTTTAAGCCAACCAAACAACCTCAAAACAATTATTATAGGAAATAGGTTTCCTATTCTTTGATTTCCTAATTTTTTTTGCGAAACGAACAGCCCCTAAGTGAAAAGCCAAGAATTATCTATCTTTGATAGTTTGATTAGTCTCGGAGACATAATCAAAGAAGAAATCAAGCCTCACGTCACACTATAATGATTTTCCTGTAAAAATAAACTGTTAGATTCAGCATTTCTAAGGCATAATGCTCATATAGTAGCAAAGTTAAAATTTGATGACGCCCAAAGACACCACCAACGAAGAAAATCAAGCATAAGTGAAAAGCTAAGAATTATCTCTCTTGGATAGTTTGATTAGTCTCGAAGACATAATCAAAGAAGAAATCAAGCATCACGTCACACTACAATGATTTTCTTATAAAAAATGTTAGATTCAGCATTTCTAAGGCATAATGCTCCTATAGTAGCAAAGTTAAAATTTGATGACTCATGAAGACACCACCTGAAGAAACCGCGAAGAATTTTGGAGAAGAACAGACTTTTGGGACACAGAGAACTGTTCTGGAGCTACACGCTCGACCGCGGCGCAAGGCCGGTCGACCGCGAACATGCACAGGCTCAGGCATGAGCCTGGACTTGGTATGGTCGACCGTCGCGGTCGACCGCCAGACCCTGTAAGCATCGCGGTCGACCGTGGCGGTCGACCGCGTATCGGGTCAGGCCCAATTTGAGTTTCCTGTTCTGATTTAGATTTTGGTGTTTGTATAAATATTAATATACGTTCTAGGGTTTCTTAAGACTAGAGTTTGGGATATTTGGAGCATAGAAAAGAGGTATTTTCTGAGTTCTTTGTTTAGGGTTTATTTGGAGAGATTAAGAGCTTTGTGGTGAGATTAGTTTGTTCCTTCGAGTGATTTGTAATCTTAATTTGTACTCTTCTTCTCTATTAGTGAAAACCTCATCCCCTTCTTACCCCGTGGACGTAGGCAATTGCCAAACCACGTTAAAACTGGTGTTCAGTGTTTGTGCATTGATTTTGGTTGGATTTTGTCTTCTTTGATCGGCGATTGGTTTGGTTCCTCGACACGGGTTTTGCCCAACAATTGGTATCAGAGCTTGGGCTACGCTTGGGCTATTTGAAGAAGTAGATCGATTTGAAAGCTCGTCTAGGGTTTCAGTTAGTGATAAAAGTGAAATCTTTTTGGTAAAGACTCTATCTTTTTCAAGTTTGGATCTATTTCTTGTTCGTTTCTGCAATTGTTTGTTGGTGTGTTGAGGATTATGGCTGGGAAAGAAGGTGTTGAGGGTGGTTCTTCAGGCGTGAAGACTGTCCAAAGTTGAAGTTTGAATATCCACTCGATGAAGATTGACGTGGAGAAGTTCAATGGCACTAACAATTTTGGACTTTGACGATGCGAAGTCTTGGATGCACTCAATGCGCAGAATTTGGAAGATACGTTGGAGTTGGACGGGAAACCGAACGATATTGATGAGAAGGTTTGGAAGAAAATGAATAGAACGACGTGTGGTGTGATTAGGTCTTGTCTCACTCAAGATCTAAAATATGATGTGATGAATGAGACTTCAGCTAAGAAGATTTGGGAAGTCCTAGAGAGCAAGTACTGAAAATTGCTTGCATTTGAAGAGGAGGCTTTATCGCTTCCAATTGAAGAATGGGACATCCATTGGTGATCACATGAACCACCCACGAAGCTTCTTGCAGATTTGACGAATGTAGATGTTATTGTTGAAGATGAGGACAAGGCGTTGTTATTGTTGAGTTCCTTGCCCGACGAGGAATATGAGACCTTTGTCCTTACTCTTATTAATGGGAAGACATCTCTTTCATATAGTGAGGTCACCGCTGCACTTGTGAATTATCAACTTAGGAAAAATGATAAGGAGACTTCTATTGAGCCGGTAGCGGGGGCATTAGTTGCAAGAGCAAAGAGTCCAAACCGAGGTAGAAGGTCGCAGTCTAGAGGGGCACATCTTGGAATTCGTAGGAATCAGTGTGCTTTTTGAAAAGAAGATGGACATTGAAAAGACGAATGCCCAAAATTGAATGATCGAGCTGGGAAGAATAAGGGGAAAGCGATTGAAGCTTCAGAGGTGAATGTTGCCAAGGCTAGTGGCAATATTTCAGATTCAGATTCTTCGGACTATTCATGCCCAGCACTTCTGTCAGTTTGTGTTGCTGACTCCACTGAGTGGATGTTGGATTCGGGTGCCTCATACTATATTTGCACTAGGAGGGATTAGTTCTCCATCTTTCAAGAGTTAGAAAGAGGGGATATTGTGCTCATGGGTAATGATCACAAATACCCTATTGATGATATATGTACCGTTCGTATTCAGATGAGTGACGGGGTGATTCGGGAGTTGGTAGAAGTAAGGTTCGTTCCTCAATTGAAGAAGAACATTATTTCACTTGGAGTTTTGGAGACAGCAGACTATAGGGTGACCTTAGCGGATGCACGTTTGAAGGTTACATTTGGGTCCATGATTGTGATGAAGGGCGTCAGAAGGAGTAACTTGTACTATTTGCTTGGGAGCACGGTGATTGATAGAGCGCTGACGACTTCATTGGATTTGGCTAGACTATGGTGTTGTTTGACGCTGGAGTATTTGATTGGGGATGCCGTGCATAGGTTGTTGAGGAGTGCGTTGACCTGCAAATGGAAGTCCTTTGAGCACATTGAGATGAGCGAGAAGACCATGGTGGAGTTTGGCACTTCTATCTATCGATCGGGGGGGTCTTTTAGGAGGTGTTCAGTTAGGCTTTTGGGGGGCCTTCCAAGGAGGCATCATTAGGAGGTAATCGTTTTTTGGTAGCTGTAGTTGGGGATTGTACTAAGCATTTATGGGTCGCAACCAATCCCCATTGGTTTGAAGTCCTAGCAGTCCGTAACAGTTAGAAGAAGTGTGTTGGTAAAAAAGTTATCCGTCGTACTAGCTTGAGTAGGGGTCCTTTCTTGCATTTGTGTCGAGCTCATGGCAGTTAGAGACACTTCATTGGAGAGGAGACATTAAAGCAACGATATGAGATGATAGATTTGATGAGCTATTCCTTTCTGGAGGAGGATCAGAGTTGGTTGTCGAGCATTGGACTTGGTATTCGGGCTTCGACACGTTTGAGTCATCTTATACATAGGTTGTCGACCGCTGCATTTAGTGATTTTGGATCTGGTGAAGCTGCTTCAGATTTTGGTTGGCGTCGGATATTTGGTTACCTAGCACT